ATAAACACAGGCGTGTCAGACGTGTCGTAGACATTACGGTCGAAGTAAGGATCTTATTTACTAATCAGTAAAGATATCTTCTACAGTCTAATAGTTCGTCTACCGATGTTTATTATTAAAAGTGTCTTATTTATATGATGACAACTGTGTCCTTGACTTTTGTATTATTTAAAAGGTTACTGACTTATAAATGAAAACATTGTCATTTTTACTAAAAGTATTGTCCGTGTACTGACGGATTAAGAATACGAAATGTCACTACCCTAATCCATCCTGTGGGTGTCGTAAGAGCCGACTAAGGGCGCAAAACAACGCAGGACACCAGCACTGCAAAAAGAAGGAGAACTTGACACAAACCGTATACCAACCCCTCTGTCCAGCGTGGTATAGTACAAGACTTTCTTTCTAAGGAGAGGCCTATATCCAGCAGTGGACTATTAAAGACTGTTGATAATGATGTGATGATGAATTTACTATAAGTCATCATCATCATCACTTTTATTAATAATGTAATCAAGTCTAAAACGAAATATAAACAGTTTCTTTTATCAAGATGTTTGATTAAGCATCAAAAATCTCATGCAAATTTGAAAATGATCGTTCAGTAGTTAAGACATTAATGGGTAACAAACCAACAGACTGTTTTTTGTTTCACTTTATAATATTAGTTACTAACAGGATACCGCTACCATTATTTATAGTCTTTAAACATATACAAAGTATTACTTAATGTCGGCGGTCATGACAATCGTTTGAACCATACCTTTAGCCGGGAAGGTCCTCCATTCATTCTAACATATATTGAGATTATTCTCAAAACAAATTTATTATGTGTTGTTATTAAAACATCACATGTCTTTCCTGTGTTTAAAACCTCGTCAATAGTATTTATTTTGGTTCACTAGGTATAGCCATTATCATTAAAACAAATTGTTAATTGTTCAAATGGTTCACAGGTCGATATCGACGCTGTTGGTGTTTAAACAATAGGCTTATAGTAACAGTTAGATTATTGTTTTGCATATCTGCTTGCCAATAGTATTTGAATATTTTTGTTATTTCTTTGTTAAGATCTCAATTTGGTTCATGGATCCGGGGGACTGTCTTGAGACATTCCACAAATCATGGTTAGGCCATTTATCGGCGTTAATTAAGTCCTAATAGCACTAAAGTCATTTTTTGACGTATGAGTTAAAGTTCCATTTAAATGTAAAATATTTGTTTTATAAATAAAACAGTCAAATTAAAAGTAGCTATAGGTATATTAATCCAAATACGTTAAGACATTCTTTTTGTCCCCTTTTTTTTCCAAGAACACCTGAGTAAAATTTGTTTTTAATTGAATTATTTCTTTAAGTAGAACAATTTAGTCGTGTTTCCATCTTAAAATAAACTCCGTACCTACATACGATACGGAAACAAAAACATACTTTGGTGCCATCTAACGTAGTCACGTCGAACTACTTAGTAACTGCTAATCCTGTATCGCGATATGAAAAGTTCTCATCTCGATTATCATAATAAAGCACCAGTCATGTTTACCACGTCTGGTCGGACGACCTTTGGGTTGTCTCTATAGTATTATTTGTTCTTGTGTAGTAATACTGCCTGTATAACCAAATATTCTTGTTATCTTTTAAATATTGCTATCAAACTGGACGACATGTGTTACTAATATATACAATAGCGATAGAGAGAGGTAGATGTTAGTGGGCTATCGCGAGTCAAAGACAGCCGACTTCTTCAACAAGTTAGATTTCTGCTTGCAAATATTTGTGTGCATGTATATCGGTATTTGCAAAAGAAACAGTATCTGTGTACATTTATCTCCGTTCTGCTTTTGGTTTGGATTAAGATAACTGTGAGTAATATGTCCCAGGATAGTAGTTTTAGTAGATAGTAGTAGATTAGTGTTTTGAGTAGTAGTACATATATTTATTATGTGTATTTTGTGTAGCTGCTAAGTGGCGTGCAATGGGAGAGGCTTATGTCCAGCAGTGGACTGCGGTAGGATGATGATGATTCAAAAACAATTACAATACACTGTAATCACTTTATAATAAAAGCCGGGCACTTTTTTTAAGGAAAAAATTAATACGTATCAACATTTTTAGTGCCGAATGTATTTTACTTTCATAGTTTTCTTAAAAACATGAATTACAATTTAAGAACTTATTTCAGTAACAATAAATATTATGTAGTAGACAGCAGACGGTGCTAGAGAGCAGGTTGTGAATAACAAGACACTATCCTCGTAGATAAATAAAACAACACAAAATCTAGACACGAACAAGTAGGTACATTAGTGGATAACAAAAACGTTCGAGCCTATACAGGGGTAAAGGACATACACCAGGGACTTCCTTTCTAGGGTATACCTGGTTCCCCGGCTATTAGTACCCGAGACGGCGTGCAGTTTTAGTCGGTTCGAGTCCGACATGCCACCGACAGGTGGTATCCGAGGGGATTTCCGCACGGAAAAAAAAAGGGGTAAAGGACATTGACTTCCTTTCTAGGGTATACCTGGTTCCCCGGCTATTAGTACCCGAGACGGCGTGCGGTTTTAGTCGGTTCGAGTCCGACATGCCACCGACAGGTGGTATCCGAGGGGATTTCCGCACGAAAAATAAAAAAAAAAGGGGTAAAGGTCATTGTAACGAATACTAAAATAATATATTCAGACCATCATTCTGAGTCAAAAATCATTAGAATTTTCTGCCGGAAGATTCTTTTTTTTATAATTTTTCAATTTTTTTTTGGTTTAAAATGATATCACAATGAGTAAACAGACATTTTTTCTTTACGACGTCCTTTACACCCTGTATATACTTATTGGTGTATAATCAGAGTTAAAAATATGCGCAGACGTCTCTATGTTACATGTTTGAAAATAAAAGACGCGTGTAAACAAAGTCATCGTTTAGATCTACGAAAAATTGTGTATTATATTGCTTATGGCTAATATAAACATTTCTAAGTTTATATACCGATTGAATAACCAATAAAATGTAAATTAGGATTTCTAAATATACATCTTGGGTTCTGGCAATCATTCAAAATTAGACAAACTGTTATAGATGGGATGCCACATACCACGTGTATTACAGTTTTATATAATTACATTTTTGGTTGTGTTGTTATTAAATATCAAAATATTCTTTATAAAAAAATAATGCTATAATTATGTGGCACATTGTGGTTGTAAAAAATAGATTAAACCATAATTATCTGAAACATGTTGTATAATATCGTATCAAAATGTGAGCTCAACCGGTACAGAACCTCTTGAGTTTTTGAAGTGGGTATCTATTTTCGGCCATTGCCTGCCCGTTATTTTCTATTTGATTTAAATTAGACTTGCAACGAATAGTATATTCAGCAGTATACCGAATACCGAATATTCGGCGAGGCCCCTGACCGAATAGCCGAATATTAGGCAAAAGTATTCGGCTGGATTTTAGCGCCAAAAACTTGTACAGACGTGAATTAAATTATTAAATTATGTACCAATGACTACTTAATAAATGATTATAAAAGAAATGAGAACCTTACCCTTCTAAATTTTGATTACCACAATAATTCAAATACATAGAATCCTCCATTTTTCCTATTCAGAAGATGATTATGTACATAAATATGATTATGTACTTAAATGATTATAACAGAAATGAAAATATGAATATATACGTAATCAATCGATTTTAATTTTTCATTTTACCAATTATTTCTCAATGACAATATATATTATTTAAGTATTCGGTATTCGGCCGAATAATATGTAGATATTCGGTATTCGGCCGAATATAATAAAAGCAGCCGAATAGGCCGAATACCGAATAGTAACCGAATATTCGTTGCAAGTCTAATTTAAATACATTCTGAATTTTCACAACTTTAACTTCCAAAGGCCAAGTTGTTAGTTGGTTGTCATGCCTTCTGTTGGCAAAATATGGATTGATTAGGAAACAGGCATGATCTTATGTATCTATTTGTATAATTGTCAAATCTTCTGGTTTGGTAACTGAAATAAAGAAATTTATAAAGGATTCTCTCAGAAGAGAACTCGTAAAAAAGTTGAGAACTTGACTTGCCAGCAACATATCGGTGAAATATTTTACATTACCTAAATTAAAATGGGATTTCCGTCCCATATAGAAACATTCTGATATTGTTGAGACATTAATATATATGATATATATATAAATCTACATGTTTGAAATTTAGTTACGATGGTAGTACACATTAAAATTCAATAGTTATACTGTGCGCTTTTAGAGACACTTTTTGCCTTGCAAATGAGATGATGGTGTGATGTGTGGTAGTCACTTTCCATCAGGGGACCCGTCTGCTCGTTTGCCTCTCTATAATAAAAAAATTTTTAAGCATCTTTGTTAAAATTAATCTAAAAAATCAATTTTAATGTTTTCTGTATTTTCATTGTTATTGTACCTCTTTTAAAATCAAACAATTGATATTCCAAGTACTGAAGCATATTTAACCTACAAGATTTCTACACCACCTAAAGGTTGACTGGTAGAGAATGAATTACGAGTAAGTCCGCCGATGTACATAAGTGCATGAGGATGTAAAATGAAAATAAAATTAATAAAAAACCATTAACTTTTGTAATTAATCTTAAGTCAAACCAAGTTTCAATAACATAAGTAAATCGCTTGGTACTGCAATATTTTCACAATATTTTTTAACGAAACAAAGCTAACGGTTATCAAATCTTGAGCAAGCAATTATATTGCGTCAGAGTCCTCGGGTTTCTATTCTTTTAAATGTTTAAAACAAAACAAGGTTTGAAGTATTAAGTTATGTTTTCCTTTCTTAGTTAAAATTTATAACTTACTTAAAAATGGTTTTCAATATTTTTTCTTATATAACTGTATATAAAAATGATGCTCAAAGGTTTTTAACCAGACATGGTAACAATCGTTCCTGTTCATGAACTTCTACTTTTCTAAGTGATTAAATGTAAATCTTTGTTGTTTCAGGGAATAACATGGGGCAAGGCATTTTTGATCTCAGCAGAAAACACTGCAGCGCTGCCTTACCTTTCTAACAGGGAGTGCACCTTAGGGGGCTACAGAACCTGCAGAGTGAACTTCCACCCTCGTCCGTTCTACACTTCGTCTTCTGACTCCAATGATGAAAAGAAAGATGCTCTTCTTTATATAGCTGTTCCTGAAAATAAGCATTGGTTAGGAGCAGCACCTTTGTCTGATATAGCCAAACAAATTCTAGAAAGTCAGGGACCTTCCGGCTCAAACGCAGAATACCTTCTAAGATTAGCTGACTTCATGAGAGAAGAAATACCAGAAGCTTTAGACGATCATCTATTTTCTTTGGAGAGATTAGTTCGAAAGTTTGCAAATGACATGAAGATTTGCTTGGTAAGTTTGATGAAGAGAGAAGAAGAGGATGAAGAAGAAACAGTGGAAGTCAAAGCGGTTGTGCCTAGCTACCACTTCGCGTCGAGAGTTCCAGAAAAGAAGTTGCGTTGTGTCAATATGTGATATTATGGCCTTGATAGGGTGATATGGACTAAATCTCGATAGCTTCTGTGATGTTTTGTTGTTAAGATGTAATAGTTGTGACCATTTTTTGGTTCAAAAATAAATATTATAAGATAGTGCAATGCTTACCTACTTTAAATGTATTTTTTTATAGTCGATCTAGATTCAAGCGTTTTTCATGCCACATTAAAAAAAAAATTGACAGCATAATAATATATACCTATATTAAATATACATTATTTATGACCGACTAAATTAGTATGACTAACATTTTAATACTGACTAAATCGTCATAACATCAGCAGTTTGGTTACCATAGCACAGGCTCTGTCTAGTTTGAGATCAGACGACCGTGTGAGATATATTATATTATTATTATGATCTTATTGTAACGTTAAAGTCGGGTATTAGGTGATAAGACTTGACATTTACATGTAATTAAATGTTTTGGAAAAAAATAACTAAAATAATATTTAACTAAAGTCTAACTAAAACATTTTCACGCTGCGGTTTAAATTGTTATTTTAAATATTTAACGTTGCAATTTGAAATCAATTTTTCCCAAAAACTTCATGTTATTTAAGTTTAAGATTTCGTGTATTTATAATTTTAAGACTTCTTCATCTATTTGAGGGCCCCAATATTATTGGCCATTGACAGATTCATGTATATTTTCCATGATAATTACTGGATAGCTATTCAAAACTAAAGTGTAGCCGGTAATAAAGGGTGTCTTAGTAAGAATGCACTTTAACATTTTAAAATAAAAACACGTATTTTATGAAAGAGTCGCGATATTTTTATTGGATTATAATGGCCGCCACGGCTCTGATGATAGGCCAATAATCTTTTCGTGAAATTTGCCATGACTTATAAACAGAGGTGTGGCGGTACCTCACCTATGATGCGTTAGATCTGTGCAGGTGCACTTTCTCGACTGAAAATTTGGCGATATTTCCGAGCGGTTTCAGCTTAATTTCCCCCATTTTTGTTATGAGTTTTCACAATTATAACGCGTTGTTCTTTCGAAAAGCGCTCCATTTTTGATAATCGCAATAAACATAGGTGACAGCTGTCAAATTTCAGAGTTGCCACTTGCACGAAAAAAAATTATTTGTGATTTAAAAAGTGCACTCTTACTGGCACACCCCTTTATTAATCTACAGTATGTGTTAGTATGTGTAGTTTTTTGGTTAGTGTTTAGAAATTGATCGATAATAAAATTTAGCAATATTTGTGTAAAGCATACAAAATTTAATTTTTAAAGGAAATTTAGAACACATTTTTTTTTTTAATTGCTTATAAATATTAGCTATTAACAACCTAGTTTTTGTTTTGGAGAAACATTTTTTTTAAATGTGCAAGGAATTTCTACATACCAGTATTTTGGTCACATTTTGACGTAAGCAACATTACTATTAAAATAAGACCAATAATTTTAGTTAAAAATTTAATAAAATAAAATAAAATTTAAAAACGACCATTTTGTTTAATAAGTTTAGCTGTTTATCATGTATATTAATGTATCCACATGCAGGTCTAAGGACACAAATTCACGATCTATGGCAACTTATTTCCAAGAGATCCGAGGTTCTAAGGGGGCCTTTTTTCTATGTCGCCATTCTCTTGGTCTAAAACAACTCCTCTATCGCTGTTCAGATGCAGCTCTTGTTCAGATTCTTGTTCTCAATTCTAGCCGTTGGAGACCTATGTTCTTTCACATACGGGCTGGCTCGACTGGAGTGATACCACGGCCTCACAGAAAACTAGTTTTCGGTAATTGCTTTGTCGCATTTCACCGAGTGCTCACTCACTCGTTGCTGGTCGCTTGTTGAGTGGTTGAGGTTAGGTCCACGTTCAACTCCTCTTTTCTTGACTTACAGGCCGACAACGCACTTGACGCTCTTGAATTAAATATGACCTGTCAGCTCGTTTTCCCCTATACCGTAAAAAAAAAATTACATACAAATGATTCCGATACGCTCAAAAGCCAAATAATTAAATTGAAATTGTTTAATATTATATCTAAGTACTTATTTATTTTTGAGTTTAATATTTTTTCAAGAGAATTATTGCGAAGAATTGTTTTTATCACGTGTTATGAATTTCTTGGAAAGGTTCAATGTATACTAAGATGTTTATTTTTTGATTACATGCAAATAGAATAAGAAAGTCTGTGAGACATTTTAATGTAATTAAAACCCAAATGTATTGGAATCGAATGAATGGTGTTGTTTAAAGCTTTTGTATTAAATATATGTATATAATTATTGTAAGGCTATGCCATAAAATGTAAACTGACAAAATGATGTATCGACAAAAAAAAACATTCATTACAAACTTGTGAATTTTACCTGCATTTTTATTTAGTGTTAAAATAAATAATCACTGACAGTTATGCTAAACTAAAATCTAAGGTGATTGAAGTGGACAAAAGGATTTGATTAATTAATTTTACATTTCATAAGACTAAAAGATTAATTTTCAAAAATCTAGTACCCTAACTACGAAATTCTTTAAAGATTAATTTTAAACCTTTTTGTATTTGATGAATATCGAAAAGTTCATACCTTAAATAAGTGCAGAAATCACGTTAAATTAAAACGTGTTTGCGTCTAATAAATCTACACGTGTTCTATGTAAGTATTAGGTTGACCTGCCTGTCATGGAACGGATATACAATATCTATACAAATAAATAAAATTGGAGTGTCTGTTTGTAATATTAAAATAACCGCTTTTTACTAAATGCATATGTATGTTTACACGGTACATATGCCAAAATAACATTACTTACAATTTTTGTCTGTCTGTCTGTTTGTTCCGGGTAATCTCTGGAACGGCTGGACCGATTTAGACGGGACTTTCACTAGCAGATAGCTGATGACATAAGGAGTAACTTAGGGTACTTATTTAGACTAGCTTCGCCCCGCGGCGTTGCCCGCGGTTATAACAATAAACGCGGGTAACACCACGGGTTTCAGCTAGTCAATAATAATTCAACACCTCACATACGGCCGTCTAATCCCAAATTAGGCAGAACTCGTAAGTACTATGTTAACCAGGCTGTTCGTAAACATACTTATACATTTCTAAATACACACACCGACACACAAAACAAATTATCGAGCTCATGACACAATTTTTTGTTCCGGTTGGGAATCAAACCTACAACCTTTAGCTAAATGCAGTCGAAAGTACTAACTACTCGTCTATTTGACTGGTCTGTCAAATGATAAAATAACAAGTTAAGATTTTTACTTTAAGATAATGCCATCTTTTGGATAAATATGCCACTAATAAAACTGTCTCATCTAAATGTAGAAGTTAATGTTTCTAAACAACAGATGGCACTGTTTTCTATCCTTTGTTCAGATAAACAAATAATAGTAAAGTTCAGCGGATACGTAGCTTTAAGTAATTGTGGTAAGTAGGTTTATAATTTGCCAATACAGTTTAGTATGTCCTTAGTGTGTCTTTATTTTCTCTTAATAATAAAAACTAGACAAAACAACCTCTAGTAAATAATTATTGGTCTCAAACGGCCAGGCGGCTGACTGGTTGTTTGCCCCCTATAGTATAACTCTTAATAGGTAATACTAATCATAGAATCAGCTAATTTAGTCTCAATTGAGAGAAATGCTGATAAAACAGAGTGTAGAGAGACAGACAGGCGACACTTAAAGAGTACTTCTTACGTAAAATGACTTAAACGAAGGGATGGAATATCTATTAAAAACATTATTATTTAACATGATATTATATTCCGTGACTAGATGAACACGCTAAGCCGTCGGTCCCAGTTGCCATACGAACATTTACTGCAATCGTTACGGGTTGTTGGAGCCCTAAAAAGTTCAACAACAGTCTTTCTACAGAACTTCGATATCGCCTTTTACCCAAGTAAACCAACCAACCCAAGTTGTGGAGGCCTGATGGCAGTAGCTCTTCGTAAAAAATCGAAGTTCAGCCGTATCGTAGTTGACTTAAAGCTGACCCCAACCTAGTTTTAACATGATATCATAAACGTCAATAATATTTATAGAAATAGTATTAAGCTAAAAAGATTTTTTATATTTAACCACCAGTTGCAGAACCTTTTCCTCATTATAACAAAAGACCACCACTTATATTTAATATACCTACTGCTATTAAAATATTAAACAGCATGTATTAAGTTATATTTTATATTGGTTCACTGGTCCTTTTTGTCTGTAATACTATTTGCGCGCTAGCCACTTGATACGGTCGTGTCAACAATAGGATAAATCTCAAATTAGTTGTAAACTGAGCTGTTTAAAAGGACAAGAGCTAAAAGTACATGTGGAATATTATGAACCATATAATTCCAAGAAATAATTAGTTAAAATTGTTGTTTATAGTGTTAAGTGCCTTCTAGATGTAATACGGATCCAGATTCCAGACTTCAATTACATTTTCACTGTTTCTGCTAAGGTATGTTTATCTAACTATTCTGCCCTTCCTAAGTTCCTTTAGAGTAAGGCAGTATATGTCGCTCAGTTTTTACCAAAAGTTAGAGATTTAAGTGTAACCTCCAATTTTGTAGAGTTAAAATACAACTTTGTTTTGCGGAATGGCAGTCTGGTTATCCTTAAGACAAGGAAACCAGTCTCCCACTATTATACCATGACTACATTGTACATATCTTTATATTGTAATAACGGAGATATAAACATTTATTATTATTCTCTATATTTCATATAAATTACATTTTCAATTAAAATTATTATTTCCGTGTGCTGACGGATTAAGAATACAGAGTGTTTCATCCCATGGGTGTCGTAAGAGCCGCCTATGGGAGCAAACTACGCAGGACAACAGCATTGCAAAGAGAAGGAAAACTTGACACAAACCTACTATACCTGGCCAGCGTAGCATAGTAGGCCAAAACCTCCGTTTTAAGGAGAGGCCAATGTCCAGCAGATGACTATTAAAGGATTTTGATGTAATGTAAGAGATTTCTGATAGTTAACTTAATAGATGTGCCAGACTTCCACAAGCCTTCATCCATGATGAACTGTTATAAATCGTATTCTTCATTTCTTAATTTTACAACCTTTTCTCCAATTTAAAAAAATTAAAAGAATCTAAAAAAAACTAGGCATTTATTCCTAGATGACAGGGTTACGAGGTAGCTTCTAGGGTATACCTGGTTCCCCGGCTATTAATACCCGAGACGGCGTGCGGTTTTAGTCGGTTTGAGTCCGACATGCCACCGACAGGTGGTATCCGAGGGGATTTCCGCACGGAAAAAAAAAGGGTTACGAGGTAGCAAAAATAAACGAAAATTTACTTATTTGAGAATCTTCCTTCTGTGCACCGGCTATGTTTACATTTACTGTAAATTATTCCTTTTCAATTCACTATCAAAAAGAAGGAGTATATATTCCCTTCTTCTGCTGTATGTATTTTAACCAAAAGTCATTCCACATTAACCTGCAAACACAAAAAGAAAGCCCTACACAACGCTTGCTTATTACTCGGCCCGCAAAGGTTTGTCGTCCTCAGTCGGTTAATTTGTCTGAAAAATATATCACAGTTTCACCTTTACCCAAATAAATATATAAATTAAGAAACGATGGGTATGTGTTATATTAATAACAAAGTTATATGTTACAAAACAAAAGAAAATGTACTCGTAGATTTGTGTTGCTAATAGATTTTTTAATCAAAAAACCGTCGCAGTTTAGATTTTCAACTAAAAAATATTAATAGATAAATATGTCTATTTCTATCCGCTATTAAACAATATGTCAATTACACTAATTTAGAACGTGAAACATGAGTCAAACCATATAATATATGTATATTTTCCTCATGGAATTGCCAAGAAAATGAAATGTATTTATATGTTTTGAAAATGTATGCGTGATATTTGAGATAGATCTCTGGATTGCGAACTTTAGTAATTTCAATTCGAGTGTCGAATTTAATAGTAGCTCTTTAAAAGTGTTTGCTAAATAATAACTTGTGTTAATTTAACAGTCGCTAGTCATAATTATTACGGATTCAAGATTTACAACTATTCAGCCATAGTTTTTGGACAAATGGTGTAACAAATGAAGGAGAAACTTTTGTATTTGAACTGTTTTTCGTGTTAAATGGTATCTTCGCTAATGATTACTCTTTATATAATTGTCTTATAGCTATGCCATCTTAGTCGTTATTCAATAGAATAATAAAAAATACTCTCAGGTGGTTTCAAGTTTCATGATTGAGACGAAGAGTGTTGAAGGCGGTTATCCTTATTTCAAACATAATTTTACCCTTTTATCTCCAGTTTTAATCAAATGAACTCCTTCAGAGTATTAATTATTATGGCCGCGTGGTGACGGATTAAGAATACAGAGTGTCACCACCCCTATTCATCCCGTGGGTGTCGTAAGAGCCGACTAAAGGAAAAAACTACGCAGGACAACAGCACTGCAGAGAGAAGGAAAACTTGACACAAACCCTATAACAAATCGTCTGGCCAGCGTGGTATAGTAGGCCAAAACCTCCTTTCTCAGGAGTGGCTTATGTCCAGCAGTGGACTATTAAAGGCTGTTGATGATTAATTATTAAGTATTTTTTTTTTTTTTTTTACTTTTATTTCAGATTAATGGATTCAAATAAGCAAAATTATCATCAGCGAACAATGAAAGGCAAAGAGTGGACTGTTCTGCTGTTGGCAATTGCGTACGTCGCACCAAACAGGTGCAAAGTTTTAGGTAAAAGTGAACTTTAAAGTCATGTCGATACAGCGTATTATAACAACGGCTATTAGTTAAGTAACTATCAACAGTATATCCAAACAATTAAATTTTTTTTAACCCCCTACTGAAAACGAGGGATATTATAAGTTTAACCTGTGTATCTGTCTGTCTGTGGCATCATAGCTCCCGAACGGATGGACTAATTTCGATGCGGATTTTTTTGTTCGAAAGCCGATGTGATCGAGATGGTCCTTAGCTACACAATTTGAAGATCATCAGCTCACTGCCTAGGTGATGAAGGGATCTCTCTAAAATCCACAAGTCCGATTGATCTGAAGTTCGGTATACTGTTACTTTGGAACTTGCTGCTGCATCAAATAGTCTGCTGGATAGCCAACTCCGGGACAGTCTCAATGAACAGTTATAGTTTTTTTTTTGTGTCGGGGGTTTTTTAATGATGCTATTATTTTAAATCAAGATTTTTTTACACAAATTCGTCTTCAAGCATTGTGAAGCAACTTACTTTCAACCTGCTCAATTTATCATCAATTAAATTAAACTAAAATATAATATCACGAAATATTGAAAATTTTGAGTCTTGTACAAAACGTATGTATGTACTTTATTTAATTTTCTAGACAAAGGAGTGCAACCAGGATTCAAAAATATTCCATTCCACAAAGAAAATTCAAGTGCTATAACAATTGAGAAGAAAGTGACATTATCGGCTCCTAAATTCAAGTTTCCTGAGAAATTGTATGAAATGGACTATAAGCCAACTGGAAACTCAGTAAGAATTAAATGCATCGCGGAAGGTAACTCTTGCTTAAGATGGACTAAAATTGACTTAACTACATAAAACGGATATTATCGGGGGCTCTAGTGCGAGTTTTTTTTCACCAACTCGATCGTCAACGGCGACCGCTGAACTCTTGACCATTGACAACGCTGAACACAGTTACCGTCGACGATTGATGGACGGCGGTAGTCAGCTACCGCCGTCCAGCGACACCTGCACCTGGCAGGATTATATTATCACTACTTGATGGTTTTTGTGCCATGCCTGATAAACGTCCTGCCAACTTCTATTTATAATCTTCTAATATTATTTTTCGTGGGTTCGACTCCAATCAGGAAAATAATTGTTTGATGATCACGATAATTGTGCTGTGTCAGAGTGTAATTTATCTATGTTATGTATAATATATATATATACGAGTAGATAAGGTATGTTTATCAGCGGGTTGCTTAACATAGTACAGGTTCGACTTGTTTGGGAATTAGACGGGCTTGTGTGACATGTGTAAATTTGTTATTTAAACTATATCTGTATCCTGGATAATCCTCACCTTCAAGTATTTCACTATTGCTTGACCCACAGAAACAATCACATCATTTCAATTATTATTTCCAGGGAACCCAACTCCAAATATAACTTGGTACAAAAATAAAAAAACTCCGATAATAAGGTCTTTCGTTGAACCTTCCTATGGCAAATGGTCATTACTTCTAGACGACCTCACCAAGGAGGATAATGGGGAATACACTTGTGTAATATGTAACCAGCTAGGTTGCATTGATCATACTACGCACCTGAAGATTCAAGGTATGATCTCGAGGTGTTATTAAACTTATATGGTATATATAGTCTTGCAGACCGTCTTACCAAATGAAAGTTCTTTTACTTGCCTATTAACCAAATTAAATTGAACCATCGTCATAACATCGTCATGACGGGGAAGTCATGATCACTTCTTTTATGTCTGGGTGTAACTTATCTACAATGTGTATGTATTTAGAAATATTAAAGGAATTTTTTAATAAAAAAAATTTAATAAAAATATTTAAGGAAATAAAAAAATAAATTAAAAAAAAAAAGGAAATTAATTAAAAAATATATTATTAAAAAAAAAGAAATAAATTAAAATAAAATAAAAACATATTAAGATCATCATCATCATCATCATCATCAACAGCCTTTAACAGTCCACTGCTGGACATAGGCGTCTCCTTAAAAAGGAGGTTTTGGCCTACTATACCACGCTGGCCAGACGGGTTGGTATAGGGTTTGTGTCAAGTTTTCCTTCTCTCTGCAGTGCTGTTGTCCTGCGTATTTCGCTCCCTTAGTCGCCTCTTACGACACCCACGGGATGAATAGGGGTGGTGACACTCTGTATTCTTAATCCGTCACCACACGGACAATATAATAAAATAATTAAAATAAATAAATCTTTTCCTTAAATTTGAAAATATATTACGTTTTTGAGGAAATGATTTATTTATTTTTATTATAATAAATTATTAAAATAAATAAACCAAATTGAAATAAATTATTAAAAAAAAAAAAACATTTCCTTATAATTTATACAAAATAGTAAGTTTTTTGAGGAAATGATTTATTATTTCTTTTTTTATAATTTTATTTTTTTAATAATTTATTTTAATTTATTTATTTCTTTTGATAATTTTATTATAATAAAAATAAATAAATCATTTCCTCAAAAAACGTAATATATTTTCAACTACCGATATTTATACCGATGCCAATGGCCACTCGATGGCATCTCAATAGCGTGTCAGTGGTATGACACTGGCTTGTCGTAAACATAAAATAGCAGAATTGAGGCCCAAAGGTTTTGATTAACAGTCGTTTAAAGAAATTAAAATTTTAATCAATTGAAATCATTTTATTCCAGAACGCTATCCTTCAAAGCCGTATATTAAAGATGGCTATCCCGGTAACATCACGGCTCTCATAAACGAAACTGTGACAATTGCGTGTCCGCCTATCTCTGATCTTGAACCGCACCTATACTGGATAAGACCTTCGAATAATTCCATGGAAGAAAATAATTTTGAAAGAAGTTCCTTTGAAGATATCCCCATTGGAGATGTGATAGACGTAACTACTTGTTTCCTTTAACATAATGATTAAAACAAATCATTTATGCACGAATTCAATTATAAAATATTATCATATTAGGGATAGTTTAAATATTTTTACCAAAGCGAAGTGAGGGATGGGTTTGTTTACTTTTGAAGACATAAGTGAAGGGGGGGGGGGTCAAATGACGATTACGTAAACAATACTGACTTTTCTTAAACTGTTCTATAAAATTCAATGGATTCTAAATTTTAACGAACGGAGAAGTCAGGGCATTATTTTTATCTTTGTAATTTCGAATTCACTTTATTAAATATTCATTTCTATGTCAATCATAAATTTATTGGTTTTGCCGAAATTAATTACTTAGACTTGGAGCTCATGAGTTACAAAAAAAAAGAATTTTTGTAAGATTACTAAACGGGCTGACTTGACTGGAGTCATGCAATGATATTATAAACACACTAGCTGATCCGGCAAACGTTGTTTTGCCATAAACATTATTTTAACTTTTTTTTGTAAAAAAAAATAGGGGTATGAAAAATGGATGTTGGCCGATTCTCAGTCTTACCCGATGTGCACACAAAATTTCACGAAAATCGGTCGAGCCGTTTCGGAGAAGTTCAACCTCGCACACTGTGACACGAGAATTTTATATATTAGATAAGTGGTAGATACGCCACCACCTCACAAAACGCGAGGGTCCTATTAAAGACTTAATTCGAAAAAAAACATAAAATGCCTTCTGTCGCTGTACTGATTACAAATAGCTGTCTCTTTCCCTCTTATGCTTTCCTATTTCCTATCGCACTTATAACTTTTTTTTTTATATTTTGTGCCTGCTGTATGAATATAACTTTCTAACCTTTTATAACCTTTCTAAGGAGATGCCTATGTTCTGCAGTGGACTAGTAAAGGCTGTCGATGTGATGAATATAACGTATATGCCTTAAAATATCATTGGAGTAACTTAAAACCGGTCTTAAGCAATTCTTTCGTTGTTTTTCAAGTAAGTGAGCGCGGTTAACAGAGGTTCAGCTTTAAAATTGTGGCAGGACACTTAAAGGCCGGTCACGTTCTTGTGTCTATTGAGCTGCAAGTGTCGATGGGCGGCGGTAGTTACTTACTAGCAAGTGTCCCGTACAGGCCTCAAATCTGATATTTTATGTTAACGTACAAGCCACTGTTATTCCATTGACATGCTATTGAGATGCCATTGACATCGGTCAAAATATCGGAATTCTACTAACAAGTGTCAATAGACTGTCGATGTTGTAAAAATGTTTCATCAATCATCATCATGGTGATATCAATAACATTTTCATATCTAGAAAAATTAATATGTAATTTCCTTACAAATTTCAAATATACCATTTACCAATCTATTACAAAGACATCGACGACATTTGTATCAGTGACAAGTCATTATCGAGGCCATTGGTCTCACATAGTTAGTAGAATACGAAAAGTTCAAAACTATTCCGAAGACAGCCCATCAACGGCCTATTAATACAATTTTACAGTAGCAGAATTAAGGCCCAGACTCATTTGTTCACGCAAGCAGACTGGTGACTGGCATTACTTACTCTTACTGAAAAAAGTGAGGAAGGAGTGAATAACGGCTGAGATCTCACTTCCGTAATATTTGAACAGCCGATCATCACTGCAGTACAATTATTCTAGTAGCATTTTGTAGTTCAAAATATCATATAAATTATTTAATACATATTAGTGTAAAAAACTGAGAGGCCTGGCAAACGATCTCTTGAAATTTTTCTCGAAGCAAAGCAGATTTAACCAACTCTTCATTACTTATACATATTACTTTTATAATATAGAAATAATGTGATTGGTATTCGTTTACTTACAGAGTCAAAACCCAGAAGATAAACCGGAACAACTAACAATATACAACGTAACCAAGGGAGACGAAGGCTGGTACGTTTGTGTGGCCGTCAACGCTCTTGGGCATACCACGGCCACAGCATTCCTGAGAGTTTTAGAATGTAAGTAGTCTACTTTTAGATACGAACCCATTAAAGGAACATTTCTCATAATTATCAGATGCATTGAACGGAGTATTATCTGATAACTAAAATATAAAAATGACTCCAATTTTAACCTACATTACTCACATAATTAAAAATATTATAATGTACGTAGTTCATTGTAACGGTTTTCTAAATTATAAATAACATTCATTGAACCAATTGTTGATTATTTTGACTAAAGCAATGGCCGTATGCAAATTGAATAAATATGTACATTGTGTACCTAATAAAATATGTCTGTTTATTGTTTAGCTTTTAATAGAATGAAAACAGATTATATTGATAGATTCACAACAAATACCGTATCCATTAAAAACTGTTTCTGTTTCTTTGATATTTTCACTTTCTACTAAATCATCGAAATCTTGGCATTCATTGAACAATTGACAATTTAGCGCCGCAGTCCTTAGAAGAACCCGAACAAGCCAAGCAAGAACAGCCCACTTCGTTACTCAATATTATAATAGCTGCTTTCGGTGGATCGCTAATAGTGGCAGCGATGGTCGTAGTGACAACCTGCAGGAAATTGAAAAGAGAGATGAAACAAAAGCGGCTAGCCCTGGAAACGGCCAGAGACGTCATTGAAACATATTGGAGTAAGAAAGTAACGATAGAGAAGCCGCATATTAATAATTCACCTACCGCTGCTGGAGCATTGGTAAGTTGAATTAGTAAGTAGGCCATATGGTGTTTCGGTGTAAGTTGAATAGGACTGCTAAGCTGCTGTAGTCGTAGGTCCGATTGCCGGAACTTGTAGCTTGCTAGCTTGGAGCTTGTACTGTGTTATTCGGCTATGAACTCTACTGACTATTTGTACTTGAGGAGTGTACCTGATATACGTTTTGTGTCGTAAGAATTCCAGCCCGGGATCTAGGGGGGGCAAACCAGTGCACCCGCCCTGGGCGGCAGTTTCAGGGTGCGCCAAAATCATAATATAGTATGATTAAAAAAACTTGCTGCACAAAGCGCCTAGCATACGGAAGCCTCGTTGGCTCGCCGTCAACTTCTAAGAAAAAGGCGCCACACGGGCCCACATTACAAGTGACTTTGTTTAAGTAATTTATCTTAAACGCTGGAGAGAGGGACGCCACAATCAAGTTTCTGCCAAAAAATCGTAGAACCGGGGCTGGAGAATTCTCAAAACGTATTTTTTTTTAATAAATATCCGTATAGTTTCTAAAAGAGCAGCATTAAACCTATACATTAATCCAGAGTCTGTGCCTGTATCAGCGTTAAAATATTTAAAGAAATTGAGTCAGTACTTAACTTTAAAACAAGATGTAGTATTGTATAATAAACCATGTTTGTTAAGGTAATTAATAGCTTTCTTGCAAAATTACTGACGCTCAGCATCAATATGATGGCTAACTTTAACATTTTTATAGGTTTTGCCAAAAATAAAAATTGAAAAGCAGAAGGTCTCCGAAGTAAAGAAAAATATTAATGACCCGAGGATATTATCAGAATATGAACTACCTCTAGACAAGGACTGGGAGGTACCCCGAAATACAGTCGTGTTAGGGAAGGTACTAGGAGAAGGAGAGTTCGGCAAGGTCGTTAAAGCAGACTGCGTGGGAGTATTAAAGCGAGGACAGTCTACGGTAGCAGTTAAAATGCTGAAGGGTAAAAGGACTATACTATATATTTTGCTTATTATTAGGTTAGTTTTGTAGGTGAGGAGGGCTGGGGCGCAGTGGTCTCTTTCTGTGAAGCTGTAATGCTCCAGAAAGAGACCGCTGAACGGGATCGGGAGAGGGCCGATCCCGAACGTAGAGGACGTCAGCGGTGATATCAGCCGTCGACGGAGCCGCGGGCCGACAGAGAGTGGGGACCTCTGGTAGCAGATTGATTGCTGCGGTAGGGAATGGAATGGCCGGCCTGATTGCATTAAGATACGATCGGGCCGCCATGCCGCGATTGAAGGGGGAAGTGTTCTCCCCTGGGATAGGGCCTGATTAGGCATGGTGTCAATTCGGGGAGGACCTGAAATAACATGGTCCGGGTCCTCCCCAGGGTAGGACACCTAAGGCCGGCCTTCGGGGTGATTTTTAGTGGAATCACCACATACTCCTGGCTCCTGAGTCCCCGAGGAGCAGGAGATCCGAAAGGATTTTCCACCCCGTCAACAAAAAAAAAACAAAAAAAAAAAAAGGTTAGTTTTGTAAAAAAATATCAAATATCTTTTTTAAAATTTTCAGACGGGCATACTGATGCGGAAATGATGGCGCTAGTCTCAGAAATGGAGATAATGAAAGTAGTCGGCAAACACGTAAACATTATTAACTTATTAGGATGCTGCACACAGGGTGGGCCGCTCTACGTCATCGTTGAATTTGCACCATACGGTAGTTTGAGAGATTTTTTGCGGAATCGACCTGAAATTATGTGAGTAAATATTAAAAAAAAAATGTATCATAATAGAAATCATTATATACTATATCATATCCTCTGTATTACTGCTACTCTTATCTACTATGATACACGAGATATCGACAGGACATCTAACTCTGCATTCTATAAGGTATTTCGATATTTATTTCAGAGTAGAAGCTACTTATGGAATGCAACATATTATTATTTTTTCAAAAACTTATAATCAATCATGATTTATCTTTGTAAGAAACCTTACATATTGTGTTACTTAAAACAAACTTCATTAAATTTCAGAACGGAATCAACAAACGAAAGTTTGGAAGACACAGGGAATCTTACACCAAAAGATTTAGTGTCATTTGCATACCAAGCTGCCAAGGGAATGGAATATTTAGCATCTAGACATGTAAGAGATAAATTGATATATTTTGTTTAAATGATCCACTATCAAATAAAATTTTGAAAACGCATACTATGTAAAGAAAAAAAAAACAGTTGAACATGAATCTTTTTTAAAGTTGTTTAAAAACAGACCGAAACTACTCATACAGAAATTATTTTTTTCCCGCTTAAGGAATATATCCTGCATTAGGAATATATACTGAGTTGCGTGGGACTTTACAAACATACATGAAACGGACACAAAGAATACCCAGACTCAGAACAACAATTTGTAGACCACACAAAGTGTCGTCCCATGTGGGACTTTACCTGTGACTGAGAATATACCAAAATAAAGAAAACTCTCATAACAACTCGTTTTCGGTTATTTTCAGTGCATTCATCGAGATTTAGCTGCCCGTAATGTTCTAGTTTCTGAAAATTTTATCCTCAAAATTGCAGATTTTGGGCTAGCGAAAAATATAGAAACTGATTACTACTATAGGAAGAAAACATCTGGAAAATTACCAGTGCGTTGGATGGCTCCTGAGTCACTTAACAGTATGCTGTTTACTATACAAACTGATGTGTGAGTTTTTAAATTAATATTTTTTCCATAGCTTGAGAACAGTTTTTTCTATATCGTATCTCTGACGTATGTCGTGTATAAAAAAAAAATCCAAATATATTTTACATTTCAACTGCGTAAGATAAGAACAAGTTATTTTAACTCGCCTTTGAATATTTGCCCTTAACTAACAAAAATTGCAAGTTAAATGAAAGTTTGTACATGTTCATCATGAGCTATTAGTAGTCCACTGCTGGACATAGGCCTATCCTTAGAAAGGAGGTTTTGGACTACTATACCACGCTGCCCAGACGGGTTGGTATAGGGTTTGTGTCAACTTTTCCTTCTCTTTGCACTGCTGTTGTCCTGCGTAGTTTATTCCCTTAGTCGGCTCTTACCACACTCACGGGATTAATAGGGGTGGTGACACTGAATGAATGAATATCGGACCGATTCCCTTTGTGCACCTGTTTAGTAGTAGAGACATGGTTAAGATATAGACAGCTAAGACTGTAGACACTCCTTCACCAGACAACACTATAACACAACGGGTGTTTTCTACCTACCACAACATAAACCTACTACGGGAGGTTATCATACCTGGTAGAGAGCAGCCCAACGGTTGATCTAGGGAAATTGTATATATGCTAATCGGTGTGTCAACTGTCTCAAAATCTAATAGAAATCTTCTTAACAGCTGGTCCTTTGGCGTCCTCCTCTGGGAAATAATGATGCTAGGCGCTACACCATACCGAAATGTTCAAGGACAATATCTACTTCAACATCTTAAAGCTGGAAACCGTTTGGAGAAACCGCCTAGCTGCAGTCTTGACTTGTAAGTAGCTTAAAGCCTTAGGGTATCAGCCATGTTTAGCTTGGGTCAGGCATTGAATCTTGTAATAACATGAAATAAATATTTCGCTTAAATGGGCGTTGCCTAATTATAAACCTGTCTGTCTGAGTAGGATCGCCTGAAAATATTATCGAAGTATATTTTACCGACGCTGCGTCTACGTATTATAAAGTGATTTTAAAATTAGTTTTAGACTTTTTCATATTTAAATATGTTTGTTTATTTCAGATACTTGATTATGCGTGAATGCTGGTCGTTTTACCCTAAAGGTCGGCCTTCTTTCACTGTATTAGTAAAACAACTGGAAAAGATCCTAACAGCGATGACAAACGTAGAATATCTTGACCTTAGTCCTTCTGAGTCAGAAACCTCACAAGTTGCAAAAACATTATGGCTTTGAAGAAATCCAAGTTTATAACCTTACACAGAAGCTCCACTTTTAAGTACTGACGGATACTAAAAGAGGCAGATATGCTACCTCAATCAGTTCTAAAGATATACCTTGCTGCCTTGGCAATGGTGACATGCAGATAAGGCGACGCTGGTGCCAAACTCTTTGGTCATTGGTAATGTTACGAGATCCATCAGAATACAGCAGATCTTACAAAACGTTGCTGAGCTCTCGAGCCAACCGTATCCAATGTTTCATTGGTGTAACTGAAGTCGGAGACACGATAGCAATGACCATCAACATTGGCACTTCAACCCTGTGGTACTGATTCTGTTCACCTGTTCATTTGAAGTAGAGGAGACTCTTCAACTATGTGTAACTTGTTGTTATCAGTGTAATGGAGTCATATTTTATTTGGAAATCGCGTTGGTGGCGGTGGTTATTTTATATGGAAACCAGGTTGCTTATAAACATACTTGCGGATTTCTAAATACATACATAAACTTTGCATAATAACAATGTGTTTTGAATGTTGAGGAAGCTGAGGTATATCTGCAGACACAGACAAATCAGTGGGAGAGAAAATCGAGACGAGACTTTCTAGCAATCATGTGGACGATTTATATGAAATGCACGCCAGCTACAAAATTATCTGTAATAAGAACATGGCGTTGATGACAGATTACTTCGTAAGATATTTTGTATTACAACTAACAAATTGAACTTAAGATTCAAAGTATATAAATATATTTACTACTTTAGATATTTTATTTTCTCTGAGACATATCAAGTTATATTAAAACGTAAATTTTCTGAAATTATAATTATATTTTAAAATTATAATTATATTCGAATTTATATTTTGCCCGCTCACATTATTATGCAACCAATTGACTTGAATTGACTTGAATTGAAGATTGACTGCACGGATGGCGTAGTGGTTTAAGCGGTCGCCACGCCGCTTTCTATTGCGCCGAGTGTTGTGGGTTCAAACCCCACATGGGATAACACTTTGTGTGATCCACAAATTGTTATTCTGAGTCTGGGTGTACTTTGTGTCCGTTTCATGTATGTTTGTAAAGTCCCCCGCAACACAGGATGTATTCCTAGTGCGGGAGTTGTCTTTTTTAAGAAAACAATAATACTCGATGTTTCCTACTGAAGGCCAATTCTCGTAATAACAATTCGGTCCCAATTCAGTTCCGATCAACTCTCGATCTCACAACTGTCATAAAAGATGTCTTCGATCAGCCTTATACTGAGGAAGACATGTGAAGACGGACCTGTATTCGACGACCATGGTTGAAAGTTGAGAAGGAGCGAGCGAGTCAAGATGAGACGTAATGAGACATGAAAGTATGAATGCAGATCTGGTCTACTTATGATATAACAGCTATCTTAACAAATTAAGTGGACGTTGCTAAGTAACAGTGAAACGTTCGTGAAAATACTGTGACATGCTTACTGAATAACTTCAAGGTGTAAAAGTCTTAAACCGAATCACCGAATTCGAATCAATTGGTTCCATACTGACTCAAATGCTAGCGGGTTGACTTGATCATGTTATATCTAATCGAGAAAAAGGTGGAAAGGTGATGTAACGGACGAATCAAAGGGTGGAGCGCATGCGTGCTTACAAACATAGTTATATAAAAATAAAACAACGTAATAAGAACGGATAGTATTTGTATTAAAAATCTTTATTTCCATATATTTTCGTACACATTCGTTTAGACCCACACATAAATCCATCAAATATACATACAAGGCGCAAAAAAGTTCCTACATTTAGATAATTACTGTTTTATTAAAAGTATAAAATTAACCAATAATAATACCGATCACTGTGATTTAAAAAAATGCATTTTTTGCATTTTTAATAACCAAATTTCCCATTAGGACTGATAAAATTAATTGTGACACCAAAAATTCATTCTCCCAAACTACAAATTACACTATAAAAATAAAATACCTGACTACTATTTACACAATAATCTCATACTAATTTCGTCCTTATTGATTATACATTTGTTATGATTATATAAATAATTAAGTACATGAAACATTTGGTGGTGAAATGCAATTTCTATACTATATCCTAAAAACGAAACCGCCTATCAATGGAAATCAACTTTCCCATAACTAACTTCAATATAAATATTCAGACTAATAGGCTGATTTTTTAATGTAGGCTGAGTTCCAAATGTACATATTTCAGAAAGATATTTAAAACGAATAAATGACAAATTAAAAATGCAAATCTAAATCTTTTAACTCTTTTTTCCCAAAAGGCTTTTAGAGTAGGCTTTTTAATGTTAACTTATAGTAAAATCAGAAATTCAATTAATATTGACATAACTCAAAATAATTACCCACTCAATTACAGATTTTTGTATAAGCATTCTGTATACGTGAAAAAATATAGTTTATGTATGCGGTGTGCGTTTATTATATTATTATGTTGAACTAGATTATAATTCATTAAATGCTTTCATTCAACTTCTTGCCTTGAACTTTATTCATAGGTTCATTGGTTCAAATAAATTTCTTTGTATTACAATATAATTTGAAAAATATTTGAAAACCGCAAGTATTAGTGGAAACCTATCAAAAATACCTAAAGTGCAACAGCCATGTTATTTTGTTCCATATAAAATAAGACAATTCGTAAATACTTAGTATAATAAAAAACATATAGATATATATATTTCCTCGTCGTTTGGAAAAGACTAGGCATTAAATTTTATATGTAAAACTAGAATATCTATAATATAATGCTACATTATTTTCATATACCATAAAGCCGATATTTGTAATAAATTGTCCCAATCTATTGAACAGTGTGACTATTTGATAATTTGAGAAAAATTGTAACAATAATACAAACATATTATATTGTGTATTACACCCAAAATGTGTTCAATTATAAACAACTGATGTCATTATTTATTAGGGAGTATCAATTGTTATAGTTATTTAATTTTGTCAATACGCGTAGTAGACGTTTCTATGCCTAACCAAAAATCATTATTAAGTATTGGTACATGATTCAGCTAATGTAAAAATCAATTCGTGATGTATTTTTAACCCCCGACGCAAAAACGACGGGGTGTTATAAGTTTGATGTGTCTGTGTGTGTGTGTGTGTGTGTGTGTGTGTGTGTGTGTGTGCTGTCTGTGGCATCGTAACTCCCGAACGTAAGAACCGATTTTGATTTCTTTGAAAGTTTAATTATTCAGGAGTGTTCTTTTCGTGAGCTATGTTTAATGAAATTTGGTCCAAGATGGCCGCCGCCTAGGACAAAAGATTTCAAATCCAAGATGTGTGTCGGCGGTTTTAAAAAAATTATATATATATAATATTTTAATTTTGTGAGACCCAGTATTTAATTCAATCCTCAATCATTTATTACGTTCGATACTGTATATACATGGTCTTAAAAATAAACAAAACAGAATCATTAGCGAGAGGAAGCTCAGTAGTAATTCTAATTACTAAACTATAATTATTTATATAAACTACCCTCAGATTTATGGTATAATAAAAATAATTCTTAAAAAATAGTAACTAACTGATAGTGCTCTAAAACTTCACAATAATATTTTACAATGAAACACAAACTTTGGTACAAGTATATTTACAAATTTATGAGTCTATTTACACAAAATATTGTGCAATACTTTGTTTCATAATGCAAAACTTATTAATAAATATCATAAGAATAAATATTGTTTTATAAACTTCCCTACGATCATGGTAAAGATATTATAAGATAAAAAAAAACAAAATAAAAAAGTAGTTTTATTAAAAATTATGTTTTCTTTACTTTTTCCGTGTTTTATATGAAGATTACAATAATTTAAGTTACGGTTATCTAATGATCTAGGCAAATAAACGAATCAATCAATCAATCAATCAACAGCCTATAATAGTCCACTGCTGGACATAAGCCTCTCCTTAGAAAGGAGGTTTTGGCCTACTATACCACGCTGGCCAGACGGGTTGGTATAGGGTTTGTTTCAAGTTTTCCTTCTCTTATAACATATAATAAACGAATGGGTCACCTGATTGTAAGTACCCGCCTGGACCATTGACAACTGAGGAGTCGTAAAGAGCGTTGCCGGCCTTTGATATGGGGTTCCGCATCCTTTTGGATGATAGTATAAAAGAATAATAATCACCCCATGGACTTTATGAATGAAAGTATTGATTTTCGTAACTTAAGCCATTCATATGAAACACAAAAAAAAAACATAAATAGATATTATTTTATACGACCTTTTATGGTGCAAGAATTTACCAAATAATCTACATTATTTGGTAATATTCATATTTTTTCACAGATTTTTTAAAACAGGAAAACTTTAGGATTGCATTCAATATCAAAATTCTCTATTACATCTTCATAGAGTCCCGTAAAAAGGCAATATAGGTAATGAAATTTTCAAAAGATTAAAAATGTTCGTCTGTACTTATTAAAAATAAAATTATTTTAACTGATTTTGTGTGACAGTTGTGGTTTTTATAATTACTAAATAATTACATTTTCACACATAAAGTGAAATAAACTACGAGTTTACTTATACCGTAATATTTTTTTTAATATTTACCAGTAAACAGTCACAGATAATATAGCGACTAGTATAGCTTGGGACTTACAGTTAGGATTTTCCATAATATTGAGTCTCTCAACAGCTCAACAGCCTTAGCTCATTGCACAGTTAGCAGTTGTCTAAATTGTAATGGCTCTCTTCAGACTAATATGCACTTTACATGGTTGTCGCGAGAGTTGCTATTTGCTTGCAATTTCATTGCTGTGTGAAAAGAACATGCATCTGAGCAAAAAGGTATGAGTTATTATGGGTAAGGCTTTTGTTCAATAATAAAGTACCATAGATTTTACAAGATAATTATTATGACTGATTATTAGAAAATTAAAATAATTTTAACATACAAAATGACAGTAATATCTACACGTATATTTTATAATGCATGCGCATTGGTGGGTTCAATATTGATCTTTAGCCTATATATTAATATTTTGTTAACGCAAAGAGGTTTTAACAAATGTATTAATTTAAGCTTTTAAACCATCGAAATGTTTAATTGGTTCCTGTTGTCGTTTCTCACAGAAAATTATCGCTGTTATAAAAAAGAGAGCATTACGGATGCTCCATCGATTTCGTTTCCATTGAAAAACGCTTCGGCTTTAAATCCAATGTTAGTCTCTAATGACGAGAAACAGCAACTACCAGGAGTCGGCTCCCGTTTTTTGTTTGCACCGACTTCATTGCAATGCAGGCTATGGAACATCTCCAAGTTCATTATGAAGTCTTATTTGATAAACGGAAAGTCACTATCACTTTCATCACCAGAGCCATCGTAGCTTGATGGCGGGGTGTCTAGTTGAGGAAGACCGAGGTCTAGGTATTCCTGGTTCGCTGTCACTGTGAGAATTTTGTCTAGGTCTTCCACTAGTTCGGTGAAGGAAGGTCGATCACCGGGAGAAAATGACCAGCACTCGCGCATTAGCATGTATCTGGAACCAAAATTTGTGGTTAAATTTAATAGAAGTGTACGGTAATAAGACTAGTTAAATTTTAACAGTATTTATGTAGAGTGTATACACGTGCATTTATCCAGTTTTAGCTGAACATATAAGTAATAAAAATCACACTTATTAACAGTTTAATAAAAATAATAATAATACAATAATTTTAATACTGACAAATCAAAACTCAGTAACAACCTGTGTAAGTGTATACAATTATGTATAACATACATACACATAGGAAGAAGTATACGTAAGTAGTAGGTTTAGCGAAAGCTAGCCTATAATATAATAATAATATATATCGGACATTTGACAACACAACACAGCGCCATCTAGTTTCAAACTAAGCAGAGCTTGTACTATGAAAACTAGATCGACTAATAGAATACTTAAATACTTTTGTTATAAGTGATATATGTGTATATTATATATAGAAAACACCCAAACTCCGTAGCAAATATTTGCAGATCATACAAACATTTGGTCCGACCCGGGAATTGAACCTGAGATCTCAGCACAGCAGTCGCATACGCTGCCGCTGCACCTCCGAGGCAGTCGAATAATATATTTATTTAAAAGGATGATAGTGATTACGATTATCGTATGAATATAGCATATCCATATAAAAGAACCGTCCACAGAAAACAGAATACTATTTGATTACTAAAACTCTTTAGATGCGTGCGCTATAAAGTTAGGAAAGATAAAAAATGATCAGAAGACATTACCCAAAAACTATTTACTTTTAACGACTTACATTTCAAGACTACAGCAAGGCGGCTTCTCCATTCGGTGGCCTGCACTGAGATGCTGATACATATATTGTCCCGGTACAGTAGGGTATGGCGTACCGCCTAAAGTCATTATCTCCCATAGGAGTACACCAAATGACCAGCTGAGAAACAAAAACAAAAGATTTAAAAATATTGTCACTAATGGTAACATCATTACGGCATCTAATACCAATACGGTAAGTCCCTTCAGCCCTTGACAAAAGGCCCATCAGTACCGAAGTTAGAATATACACTTAAATACACCTCTTAATATACACTTGCGTATGATGTATATTTTAAGGTTATTTTTCGAGACGATATTTAACGTTGAATCATAAAATATAATTAAACATTATCTCAATCATACTATATCGTAAACCTCTTTAATGAATCATTTTCTGACTATTCATTTGTTGAGATCCGTCAAAAATCTTTTTTAAGAATTAAGCCTAATTTATTCTACCTTTTGAGCACTTTCCAACAAAAAGTATCTAGTTTCATTTTAAACTTAATTACAGAAACTATAGATACTCACACGTCAGTTTGGGTAGTAAAAACTTTATGATACAAAGACTCCGGCGCCATCCACCGCACTGGTAACCTTCCTTCAGTCTTCTTTCTGTAGTAGTCATTATTTTGAACATCTTTTGCTAGACCGAAGTCAGCAATCTTGAGAATGCAATCGTCGGAGACTAAAACGTTGCGAGCGGCTAAATCCCGATGGATGCACTGGAAAATATCAAATTAACGGTAAAAATCAAGCCAGATGGAAAATCTATTTTATCAATAATTGTAATTTTACTTTTAACTTACACGTCTAGAAGCTAAATATTCCATTCCTCTAGCAACTTGGTATGAGAATGACACTAAATCCTTTTGAGTAAGCGTCTTTTTCTCTTTCAATTCTTCTATTGGTGATTCGTATCTGTTACAAAAGATAGTATGTATTAACTTCTAATAAATGCATCCTAAGGAAGGACTATTTTGTAGTGAAATAAACATACCTATTCCCAGGTCGATGATTCCTCAAGAACTCTCTCAGATTACCGTTGGGTGCATATTCAACAATGACGTATAGCGGTCCATCTTGAGTACAGCATCCCAGCAAGTTAATAATGTTTACATGCTTCCCGATCATTTTCATCATTTCCATTTCTGATACTAATGCCATCATCTCCGCATCCGTGTGGCCTTCTGAAAATTTAAATCAAAATTGTTGTTAGTGTAGCAATTAATTCACATCTAAACGGGGATGAAACTAAGGTTGAAGAGGTACCTCCAGAAATCAGAGATATGATATAATAAAGCGTAGAATTGCACGACATCACTTTGTGAGTACTTATTTAGTGAAAACTTCCTGGAATAACCTTGCACGAGACGAACTGTATTCTTTGCAGCACCTGGTGTATGCAGATCATAACGACCTTTAAACCTCAATCAGTAGGTACAGAGTAAGACAGGCTTTTATAAGCCTGATAGCATGACTTTATATATTTAATATCAAGTCTTACTTTTATGTTATTACCAGAATTAATAATAATAATAATAATTAATCCAGACATCTCACGGCAGTTTGCTCCCAAATTAGGCAGATCCTGTGTTATGGTAATGTTATGGTTATGGTAACAGACTGCCGATAAACATACTTATATCTTTCTAAAAACAAACATATTATAGAAAAATTACACCTAGACACAGAGCAAATGTTCGTGCTCATCACACCGAGTCGAACCCACGACCTCCGACTTAGCACTCGGGTCACTAACAACTAGACCAACAGTATTTTTAAATAACATGTACATACGAGTAAAAAGATCTATACCGTGTCTACGCTAACTTCGTATATTTTTAACAAAATGTTTATAATTAATATTTCTATTTACTTTTTTAAATTACTTTAGACATTAAAACTTACCTTTCAACATTTTAACGGCTACAACAGACTGCATTCCTGGTTTTAGTATACCCACACACTCTGCCTTCACGACCTTGCCAAACTCTCCTTCTCCCAATATCTTGCCTAACGCCAGCATTTCCCGAGGTACTTCCCAGTCGATGTCCATAGGTAACTCATATTCTGACATCATCATTGAGTCGCTTGTATTATTCTGGACTTGTGAGAGCTTCTGCTTTTCAATCTTCACTACTGGCATTAGCTGCAAGAAGAGTAATTTTTCAATGCTACGTAAAATCTATATAAATTAAACGTTACCCTGAGAGGCAAAGAATGAGAATAGTGACATTTAAGATCTGAGAGAATGAAAAAGTTAAAACAAGACAGCAGTTTAGACGAGATTCAGAACAGTTACTACCTCGTGCGGCTTGTGGTTCGCGGTTCACGGTTGACGAAAACTGACTTACGTCAATTAATAATTGTCGGAGACACCATGTAGTTTTAATAGGTTCGACTCCACCAAGCCCGTTGGCAATATCTTCATTATACCATTGATGATTGGTTGTCAAATATGTAAAAAAAATATACAGTCTCCCAAGACGTAAAGTTACACCAACTGTATGATTTTGGGCATTGTATTTTTCTCTAAAATTCTAAGGCAAGTTTACTTACCAAAGATTCACCGGTAGTGGTAGGTGATCCATTAATTTGCGGCTTCTCTACCGTCACCTTCTTAGTCCAGTGTGTCACTATCACAGCTCTAGCGGTTTCTATGGCTAATTGCTTTTGTTCTTTTTCCCGCTTCAACTTCTTGCAGATCATCACCACAATGATAGCTGCTACGAAGAACATAGCGCCGAGGACAGCAGTCAGAATGTTGATCAGTAATGTATGTTTTCCGTGATCAGGTGCTTCTTGAACGGGTGGTGCTAAAAACAAAGAAAGCACTAGAAATCAAGACGTCTACTAACCAATCCAATTTAAAGCTAAATTACACAAGTTCTATGGACACATGTTGACGGAGTCATAAGAATAATACTCTATGAGTGTCTTTATTATTTGTGTATGTGGGTATGTTATGCCATATACATATTCATACTAAAATATTCTATCTATACAAATAAATAAAATTGAAGTGTCTGTTTATAATGTCAAAATAACAGGTTTTTTTCATGCTCACATGTTTTTTTGCACGATACCTATACCTAAAAACCAGTTTAAGCTACCAGGTAGCTGTCTATATAAGAAGTAACTAAGGCTACTTTTCCTCTTAGAAAAACCCTAAAATTTTTGCCCGGTCCAGGAATCGAACCCACTAAGACAGCGCTTTTCAAATTCCACGCGAAAGAACAAGTATATATTGAAACCTAGTAGTATATGTAGACCTAGTAGTATATACATACCTAGTATTTCTATGTAATATAATTTTTATATCAGATGTTAATTTCGTAATTTATCTAATAACTTTCAAAGATATATGTAGCTGCTACACACAGATTTGTAACACCCAAAGGACTGATATAAAATAGGTGTGGAATTAAGTCTAATAGAAAAGTGAGAAATACATGTAATGTTATTCCAAATTATCAAATAGTTTTTTTGACTATGGCTCATATAATTACTGATGTATGTGATTGCGGCAGTGTCGAATGCATTCAATTCAATTCAATTCAATTCAATTCAATTTATTTGCGATAATATGGGTTATACAAAAAGAAAAAAACAGGTGGAAAAGATACAGCTAGTTTCACCATATTAAGCCGAATGTCACAGCATGCAAAAATTAACAATAATTATTGATTATAACAAAATAATATCCAATACTGTCATTTTCTAAATAATAATACAGTTCTTAAGTTAAATAATACATAATAAACAAATAATAATAAATACAAACTATAATATGTCAAAATTTCTGTACTGATGTATGTCAAAGGAAGATGTAAGTAGTGCATTATTTACATCATTCTACATATTATCTTCCATGTATTCTTTTACCGAATAATAAGTTTTACCAACTAGAATAGCATGTAACTTTTTCTTAAATAAAATTAAGTTCTTTTCATTTTTCAAATCTGATGGTATCTTATTATATATTTTTGGGCCCATGCAGAATATACTTTTATGAAGTAGTGCAGTTTTAGATGGTCTAATGCATAATTTGTTAATATGACGTTGCCTTGTACGGTGTTCAAATAAATGTAAATTACACTTAATAAATATAGCTGTTTCGTATACATATAAACAAGGTAAAGTTAGAATATTTAGCTTTCTAAATAAAGGTTTACATGAATCTGTTTGCTTAAGACAGGAAATAGCTCTAATACACCGTTTTTGTGCTCTGAACACACAGTCCGCATTGGTGGAGTTACCCCACAGTATAACACCGTAGCGAAGAGTAGACGATACATATCCGTGGTACGATGTTAAGGCAGTATAAATGTCGACAACTTTAATGAGGTTTCTTAAAGCAAACGAATAACTATTTAATTTTTTACATACATGCTCTGTATGCTGCTTCCACGACATTTTATTGTCTAAGTAAATTCCTAGAAATTTCGTGCTCTGTACCTCTTCTATTACTTGCTCTTTATATTTGATATTTATTTTTTGTGGTGATTGCCTATTCCTAAAATGTAAAGATTTGGTTTTATCGAGATTGATTATTAAATTATTACTCATTAGCCAGTTAATTGTATTTTCTAATGTCTGATTAATATTGTCAAGAATGTCATTTATTTTGTATTTTTCAAAAAGTATAGTACTGTCATCGGCGAAAAGAGTCATAGAGTTAGTCGTAACTGTTGGAATGTCATTAATGTAAACTAAAAATAAAAATGGTCCCAAAACACTGCCCTGAGGTACACCACATATGATATGTCGCAGACTAGATGAATAAGTCGTCAAAGTTTTTGTTTTATTGCATATCTTGCTTATGTCAGTCCTTTGTTGTCTATCCGTTAAATATGATTTAATTAATTCGAGAGCACTGCCTCGCACACCATAACGATGTAATTTCTCTAACAGTATGTCAAATTTTACATGATCGAATGCTTTGGTCATATCCATAAAGAGAGCAATAGTAGGGCATCTCTTATCCATGTTCGTTAAAACTTTATTACAAAAATTATATAATGCCATATTTATTGATTTATTTTTCCTGAATCCCATTTGCTCTTTCGCAAATAGTTCATGACTTTCAAAATAATTGTAAAGGCTATTGTAAATAACTTTTTCAAAAATTTTGGAAAATATGGAAAGTAATGCTATCGGTCGGTAGTTATTTAGATTGGCATTGTTTGTTCAATTCCTTTATCGATTGTGTGTAATAGGCTACTTGTTTTTTGCAATAAGTAGGTACAGCAAATGAATCCATTACAATGTTAAAAATGTCTGGTTTATTGTTTGTTAAATTAAAAATTTAAGGTCATTGAACTAGTCTATCATAGATCGGCTTAAAGCCTATTATTTATTTGTGAATTTTAAACTTTATACACATCGGCGGACTTAATGCCCAGGGCATTCTCTTTCATTCAGCCTTTGGGTGGTGAAGAAATCTTGTAAGGTAAGGTGCACATAAGTTTCATATTATGATATCAATGAAAATATACACAGTTCACTACATACCTTAATAAATTTATACATACACATATACACACATCATAAATACATATCAATAGCCTTTAATAGTCCACTGCTGGACATTTTAGTATAGGATTTGTGTCAAGTTTTCCTTCTGTCATGTGTACTAAAAGTGTCTGAAATTTTACCACTTACATTCTAAAACTGTCAGGAATCCTTTGGCCGTGGTATTTCCAAGAGTGTTAAGGGCCACACAAACGTACCAGCCCTCGTCTTCCTTGGTTACATTATATATAGTTAGTTGTTCTGGTTTATCTTCTGGGTTCTGGCTCTGTAAAAGGAAAATATGGAAATGACGCTTGAGCTTTGAATTTTCTCTTCTTTATCAAACTTTTAAAAGTTGGTTGATATTAAAAGACCTTGGTGTGATTAAAAAATAAACTCAATCAAATTTTCCGCATACATGCATATTATATTATAAGATTTGACACAGTAGAAACTAATTATGAAATACAAGCGAAAAAATATGTTTAAAATTTAACTAATAGTTAATAACTTTATAAGTGTTACTTTGTTTGTCTTTATGGTTATTTCTTGCTCAGTATACCGAAGCATGAATGATAAGGAAAAGAGATTTTACATAAAATATTGTATTTTTTTTTAGTAACGAACCTATGGGTAGGTAAAAATAAAAATAATTAAAATGGTCTTTTCATTTTATTTTCACCATAGCCTTTTGCAAAGCCCTTCATAAAAATTATCCACATTTTACAATCTAAATGTCAATTGTATTTGAGCATCATATAACCACCAAAAGGATACAGAAAAAAATTACCAAGCAATTAAGCAAAACTACTTTATAATCGTAAGCTTAACTAGTAAAGCATCTACGCATTATTGTAACATAAATATGAACACACTTAAAAATCAAACGACGGGCCTGTTAGTCCTGTGGTTAGTAACTAACTACTAAGCCGGAGGTCGTTGGTTCGATTCCCACCCAGTACAGATAATTGTGACATAAGCACGATCATTTATTCTGTGTATATATGTAATTTATCTATAATATATATTAGGTCTTTACCTATGAAATTGCCGTTTTGTATGCAATAAGTGAAAGTACTTATTTTTTCAAACTTTTTTATTTCTGTTATTCGAAGTAATCACCCATGTAATCGACGCATCTTTGCCAACGCATTGGCAGTTTATTGAAGCCCTTCTAGTAAAAATCAGCTGGACGGGAGGCAATAAACTCTTCAAAGGCATTTTGTACTGAATTTCGGGAATTGAATTTTTTACCCACTAAAAAGTTGTCTAAATTTTGGAAAAAGTAATAGTCGGTACGTGCAAGGTCTGGTGAGTATGGCAGATGAGGGAGAGCTTCCAACCCCAACTCTTGCAGCTTGGAGACTGTCTGTTGCGTAGCATGGGGTCGCGCGTTGTCGTGAAGGAGCAGTGGGGACGACCGATTGACCAAAGCTGGTTGCAGATGGGACCACCAGACCTTGCAGCTACCGACTATTACTTTTTCCAAAATTTAGACAACTTTTTAGTGGTTAAAAAATTCAATTCCCGAGAGGCAGTACAAAATGCCTTTGAAGAGCTTGTTGCCTCAATATTTAAGTATGTTTGTCAGCACGGTTACCATAGTTCAGGCTCTGCCTAGTTTAGTATCAGACTACCGTGTGTGAAATTTGTGAAATTATTATTGTTATAAGCATAACTAGCAAAGCATATATTTCGTACGCATTGTTGTATCATAAATATTAATACACTTTAAATAAAAATATCAATGCACATGCAAACACAAAACAATTAAGAACACTATAAAAACAACAAACAGAGTCATGCGTTAGTCACATTTCCCTCACCGACACAATTTTGTTCATATCGTAGTAAACAATGGTCTCCTTGGCGGACGTATCGTTAGGATCGACGGTATAGTTGTAAATGTAATCGTCTCTGGTGAAATACAGCCAAAAGATCGAGGGGTGCATGTCAGTGAGGAACTGACAGCTGAACCGAACTGTCTCTCCGACCAAAACCGTCACATTCTCCGCACCACGAGTCAACACCGGCTTCGCGTAAAGACGCTCTATAAGGAAATTGAATGGTTAGAAATGATGATGTGGAAAACCAATTTTTTTGATGATTGATGATTTAATTCTGAATTATTTGCAGCCTTAAACTACTTCGAGCTTTAACTTATATCAGTTTATTCCCCTTTTACATGCTGTTCTTGACAGACCTTGGTGTGGAATTTCTTGTATTCCAAAATAAACAAATGAAACACTTGGAACGAAATAGAAACGGAATTTGAGTGTATCTTTTATTTAATTTGCCATTTAAATCTGGCTATTTGTGTATTCAAGCAAATAACTGAAGAAGTTTAAATGCTACTTGTTTAATCTTTTATTTATCTTAATACCCTAGGGATGTATGTCATGAAAGTGCCTAATGATTCTTAATTAATGCAAAACTCACCATCTTTGTTAACAAATCAAAATATGCGATTATATTATAAGTTTTTAGTATCATTGTAAAAATAAAGAAAGATGATTTTGAAATTTTTAAGTCGTTCTTTTTCTAAATAACTAACCACCACCATTTACCACCACCATTAAACTTTACGTTACACAGAGACACCGTCTAATATCATCATACTCATAGTTAAATGTGAGTTTAGTTTGGCCTAAAACCATTAAAAGAATTCCAAAACCATGTTTTATTTTTAACACAAAATGAGTTAGTTACATATAACAAATACGTAGTCTAAAATCTAATGTTATTACATTTTCCGAAATCTCCATTTCACTTCTCTATCTCGCTTACCAAAACCTATGCCTCAGTATTCATTAATCTACCGCCACCTTTTAGTGGTAGCCCATCACCCAAATGAAAAGAATCAGTGACCTCTATCACAACTCCATTTGGTATCGGCATATCACTGGGTCCGACCTCGACATCTCTCAAAGAGTAATTAAAGGGTTTAACCCAATACATGTAAGGTTCAAGGTCGGAGACTGGAGGGCATGAAAGTACCACGGTTTCGTTAACTAAAACCGTAATGTTGCCAGGATAACCCTCTTTGATGTATGGCTTCGAAGGGTAGCGTTCTATAAAAGATAGATTTTATTGGAAAATGTTTAGACGAAAAAAGGTAGGTATATGTTTCTAAATATTCTAATGTCATTTTTACAATTTCTTTAAATCTACTAAGCCATTTAGGCTGCCTGGTGTACGTAAACCTGAAAGCAATATATCCTTGAAGGTGTCAATTCAAATTCTGCACGTTTCGATAACTGTAAAAATATATCTTAATTTATATTACCTTGGACAAGTAACACCATAGTATGCTCGATGCAGCCTAGCTCGTTACAAACAACGCAGGTGTAGTTTCCATTGTCAGCCTTGGTGAGCTCCTCAAGAGCCATGGACCACTTGCCATACGAAGGTTGAAAGTAAGACCTTGCGATTGGAGTACTCTTATTCTTGTACCAAGTTATATTTGGAGTAGGGTTACCTGCAATTTTTCATGTGTTTGATGAATAATGATTTACTACTTAAAGAGCTCATATTAAAGTAATCGAAAATGTAAAAGTATTTGTATAAACTCTTTTTAATGTGTAGTAGTTGCACATGGAAAGCAATTGCAGGAACACAGTTTCTTTAAATATAGTTACAAACAAACCGGAGAACCAAATACCACGGAGGTAATTAAAGTTAAAAGAGTGAATCCTATACAAAATATAAAGCTAAACTCATCACGTTTGGACTTTAAAAATATTTCAACACGAGTCCATCTTACAAAAATACACACTAATAAAAATATTTATTACCTTCCGCGGCACATCTTAGTCTTATAGAGTTACCGGCTGGTTTCATATCCATCTTATACATTTTTGTTGGGTGCTTGAACTTTGGAGCGAAACGCTCTAGTTCGTCATCAATGTGCCCATAGTTGGGATGGTCTTTTTCTGACTTTTCATCAGGATCTTCATCTTTCGGGAATCGTCGGTTAATTTCTGTAACGTTTTCATCTAAGGTATTGTTTTCAATAAGCAGTCCACTTTTAATCTGAGATAGCGTCTCTGGCAGAGAGCGTTCACCCATGTCAGCTTGAAAACCTGAAACAAATTACAAGTTTTACATTTTTGCTAATAGCTGCATTAAGTATCTTGAAAAATCACCGTGTTAAATATATTTCAAAAGCCTTTCTAAAAATATTATCCTTTGGTTTCATCTGAAACCAATAATATCCAGGAAATTTGCCGTTATTTCAATCAAAACTTCAAGTACATCCCGTGGCGAAAAAAATCAACGAAACGTTTTAAAATAGCGACTGCAATATTACTGCAATACTGCAACCCCGGAATCCGGTGCAGACTCGACTTGTTTACACATCTGGATGACCAATAAAGACACCAATAAAATATAATATGAAAATAACCACGGACAGGCCAAAGACACTGAAACAGCATCGGTAATGTTATTTTAAATCTTTAAGACTATATTTATTATGGTCAGAAGGCTCAATGCATTTTTTGCTAAAACAATAAATGAGTATAATAAATAAGTGGGAATCCCAGAGAAATAATTAGGGTAAATTAAAAATATTAAAGAACTTTAATGTCTTACAAATTCATTATTTAAAGCAATAGCCCATGGTTTTTTACCTTTAGGATCGAGACTTACCAGACAAATCATGAAAATTGTTCTGTTTCAACTTTATCACCACAGCCATCTCTTTGAAACCATCAGTATCAGTACGACACGTGTAAGTCCCTTCGTCTTTGAGTCGAAATCCTTTTATTCTTAACCTGTAATCATTATATTTATTAACTGCTATATATGATATGTATCCTTCTGCCATCTGTATGTATTTGTAACAAATAAATATATATTTAACTGTGTCCGCAGTGAGAAGCATGAATTTGTTATTGAAATTAAACGAGAACGGAATATTAGCAAGAGCGTATAGGGCATGTCTGAGGGATTCTTTTAAAAGGGATAAAAAAATATATTTTGGTTGATTGGCTTCAATTATTTACTGGCTATGTGATCGGAAAAGAAGAGAGTAAAGAGATGATCAAAATAATATAGTTATAGTATGCAGTCATACTTTACAGAAGTAGAAAAAGCTACTGTCTTCTGTACAGGGTTTTTTTTAAATAAAAGAATAGTGAGGCATTTTGAATGTCACCTTAATATCTTTAAGGATTTTACCATAATTTATATATATAAATATATTTAACAAAAAAGCATTCAATACAATTGTATTTTGCACATACAGATAAATCTTTCAGAAGCAGCCATTTAATTCAGAACTGAACAAATAAAACGAATTGGTCATAAAAATGACATCAATGCGGTAATGTTAAACAGAAGATGCGTTATAACTTTTACGATCATTTCACTTCTCACCCATATTCTTTTGGAGCACTAACATGGACTTCATTAACATTGATGGCTTTAAATTTTGAAACTTTTGAAAAAAAAAAGTTTGATTGAATTTAATCTGTTTTCTTTTTTACACGCTTTTATTAGCTTGGTATGTATGTATGTAACGGAATCTTCGAACGTGACTTTGACCCACTTTAAAACGGGGAACAAATTAAAATGCCGCAAACATATGAAAACAATTTAAAATGTATTAACAATATCACTAATAAGAGAGTTACTCGCTTTAACAGTTCCAAATAACGTTAATACGTAAATAAGGTATTTATGTGACTGTGTGATGTGACCACCAGACCTTGCACCTACCGACTATTACTTTTTCCAAAATTTAGACAACTTTTTAGTGGGTAAAAAATTCAATTCCCGAGAGGCAGTACAAAATGCCTTTGAAGAGTTTGTTGCCTCCCGTCCAGCTGATTTTTACAAGAAGGGCATCAATAAACTGCCAATGCGTTGGCAAAGATGCGTCGATTGCATGGGTGATTACTTCGAATAACAGAAATAAAAAAGTTTGAAAAAATAAGTGCTTTCACTTATTGCATACAAAACGGCAATTTCATATTCATATTGTTTTTTGTTATTGCAAAAAGCATTAATATTTTACTAATATTTTAAAATTTGTTTAATAAGAAAAAGCAATAATATTTACGTATTAACGTTATTTGGAACTGTTGAAGCGAGTAACTCTCTTATTTGTGATATTGTTAATACGAGTACATTTTAAATAGTTTTCATACGTTTAAAATTGCGTAAAATTTCGTAAATAAATAACAGACCGACAGACAGACAGACGGACCACAAAGTGATCCTATAAGGGTTCCGTTTTTTCCTCTTGAGGTACGGAACCCTAAAAAATATAAATATTGCAAAATAACTTTAGTAATTACAGTCAATTCTATAAATATTTAAAAGGCAAAAAGCCAGCACTTTAACAGTTGCATTATGACAGGCACACTTGTTTTTATTTTCATTGCCAGCTTGCAAATACTCCACAATATGCCTTAACTTTGAAAAATTCGCATAAAATGTTTTATATTCTTAGTACTGACGTTTCTCTTTACAAAACCTGCTTTATTAATAAAGAAATCCAAAATATTATGATCGACACAATGTTTTGTTCCCTAAATAGGAGCACATAATTCATATCAACCATACGTGGTGATGTGTGGTGCAGTAACAATATTTACAAAACCTAACTTTTGTAAATATTGTTACTGCATACATTGCTATGTCTCTATTTCGGTGAGTTTCAAGAAATTTGTGCAAATGTTACTTTAGATACGCTTGGAATAGCTCTGATTTATGAACTGTAAGTTATTAAGAGTGTATATATTATTTATTTTGGGGCGGTTCATGAGTTAAAGGGGTGAACCCAATATAACTTTATAATGTCTTCACTATGCATATTTTGTGAGTGTCATCAGAGCCGATTAAGGAAGCAAACTACGCAGGACAACAACACTGCAAAGAGAATGTAAACTTGAAACAAACCCTATACCACCTTGTCTGGCCAGCGTGGTATAGTATGCCAAAATCTCGTTTCTAAAAAGAGCTCTATGTACAGCAATAGACTACTAGAGGCTGTTGATGATGATAATAGTGAAATATATATATTTTTTAGATAATATTTATTAAAATATGAGTTAATGGTTACCATTGCCGCTGTTGCACCACCCTGCTTCTTTGAGTGTCCACCAGTTGTCCATCTTTATACCAAAGGACCGCTCCCTTATCCGTGGTCGGCTTCAAGCTGCACGTTAATCGTAATCTCTCGTTCATCGAAGCCTCAAATTCCATATGCTCCTTGTCTGTAACAAGCAAAGTTTCTATTTACTTTTGTATAATCAATTACTAAAATTAACACAAAATTCTGGCTCACGACTCGACGGTAATTTCTTCACCAATAACTAGACTTTTTTTCTTTACTTAATTAAAGAACAAAGTCGATTAAGTACAAAGTCTCGCCAAGTAACACAGTAACTTGGATTTTGACTCAAGGCATTTCGTATCATAAGTTACACAGGAAGTCTTTGCCGTGGTAGACCCATGCTTCGATGCAAATGGACAGGCTTGATCGGAGTCCCACTATTCTCTACTAATACTAAAAATGCGAATATGTGTTTATTTGTTTAATACGTTTTCACGTCTTAACCTCTTCATCATCATCGTCATCAGGCTATCGCCGTCCACCATCTGGACATAGGCCTCTTCCAATGCACACCACTTAACAACTTAGCGGATCATAATTTTGAGTACACTTTACAGGGAGTACAGTATACGTTAAAAGGGTTAGGTAACAACTTTTATGCAAGCAAAGTCGAATAAAAAAGCTGGTAAATAAATTTATTTAAATAGTAATATAAAAAGGTGATAAAAGCTAGACATCGTAGTCTTTTGATCGATATCGTACTGATTATATTATATTATTATATCTGATTTTGTAAATCGACTAAAATATCCCAGTGTGTACCTATTATATATGACGAACTAAAAATTTATCGGCTTATGTATAATGTATTTCAAGATTATAAACTATCCACAATTAAATATAGTATGTCCCTTAAGCGTGGATTTCTCGGCTCGTAAATTTAACCCTTCCACTGCTGGCCCTGAATGCGAATGGCCCATTGTAACTTACAACACAGGTCACGTGCAAAGCAAGATGAAGATTAAAATAAATGTATTTAAAGTCCACGAAATTTCAATTTGTCGGGTATCTTTAACAATTGAGTTATGCGTGTATTAATATTTGTTTCATAGGCCATTTCGTGAACGAAAACCAAAACTGTTGATTCATAATATTAAAAATATGTATCTACTTTAATTGTTATACTTATTATAATATAAATTTACCTTTGTTATCCAATAGATTTCTGCTTGGATTAGGCATATTACTTTCTATTCCACTATACACTGACAAGTTTCAACACTACTAGTACCATATTGTATTTATAATAGCAAGTATTGTCACTGTAAGTCGGCGGAATAAATAAAATAAACAGGTGGACATTAAGACAAGAAATATGTAGACTGTTTTTTCAACTAGATTCATATTCTTGTGTGTACAAAACATAATGTACCCTACATATGTACTTACACGTATACAAAATAAGGCCTCGACCCTAAAGACATTTGAGGGCAAGATATAGCAAACGCATTAGCAACAGGAGGGCGTGTTAAAATAATATAACAGTAGATTTATAGTGTTCAGGTGTCCCTTCGCAAACTGTACTCTATTTTTGGCCTGAAACGTGATTTTAATGAGCATTGACGGGTTTGGTTTTTATTTTAAGTGTTTGTGCATAACGACTTTCGCGCAGCGTTATGGGGTGAGGCTTGTTACTGAAAGTTAAAGTTATTCACATGCGGAATTAAAAAAAAACAAGCAAAAATGTTTGTATGAGAGCATGCACATATGTACGAGTTAAATTGGCCAAAACTTCTTAATGCATAAATGTGCAATCTCCTGATATAAAACGATGACAATGTGTTGAAATACAAATTTATATCAGGGGGCCGTAGATATTATTTTAAGTGTTACTGCGAAACGTCTAATTAAGTGCAGTCAACTCAGTATTAGTAAATTATCACTTTTTATAAGTTTATACCTGATAAAGATTTTATAAATTCTTAAGTAGTACAATTCAGATTTTGATGTATTAAAATGTTCATAGATTTTTTTTTTTTATATTTGTATATACTTACTCTAACTTGCATTAATGAGAGAAAAGAATGTAAGTTTTACTTACATTTTAGTATTATTTTAGGTGTAAACTCTTAAAAGGCCATAACTCAAAACTGCAACATAGTCTCGAGTTACGATGTCTTAAAAGTTTACTTAAGTTGTACTTAGCTGGTTTTCGCAGTAAAGCCACTATGTTTTTGACGCCTCTATGATCTATAAAATAATCACTGAAGCTTAATACGGTTCAATTAATTTTAATATCGTACATTTCGATACTAAAATATATGTAGAAGTTACTTTTAAATACACAAGTGGTATGGTGGATTACCATAACAGTGCTCGTGTAACAATTTTACAAAGTAACAGCGCTTTGTTTTGTAGGCCCGGCTGAAATTTTAACTGCCAGTGAGATTTGTGGCCTGTGAATTATGGCGTAGAGTAATGATGTGAAAATCAAAGTACACCAAAAATTATCGATATCGATAATTTTAATTATCGTTGCTGAATATATATATGGATTTAGATGTATATATAAGGCATTCAATGTGTTGAGCTACGTTTATTGGGCTCTTGGACTTTGAGGTTTGACTACATTCAAATAATATTAACGAGACAAACTAACTGAAAAAGTAAAACTTTTTTGAGTGTTAAAATAATTCTTGAATATTACAATTATTTACTTGAGTATTCATATTTATTAAAAGTAGACACCGTTGCATCCCGAACACACATAACTAAAAGTGGATATATTTAACAAAAACTTTAATATTCTAGAATATTAAACATTTTATTTCTACTTTTAAATTGATATAAAATTCTTGATTAAATAAACAACATAGCACGGATAATGATATATGCAAAAATGTAATCTTACATGTTTCAATATGCATATTATAAATATTATCATATCGATAACAAAAAAGAAACAAACAAATACATATTATTTATTTTATCGACTACAAAATTTTACCCTCACTATATTTTGCGAAGTCCTTAACCATCGATTTAGTGGTTGCATGTGTTGAGCAGATGCAAGGCACCCATGGGTTACAAAAACTTGAAAACCAAAAACCGGACTATAATTTTTTTGGGTATTTTTAAAAACAATAGCCTCTTGGAAGGAATCGTGAGAAACATGGTGACAAACGATGTTTTGAGTTTTAAAAATCAAAAAACATTTATTTACGAGTATTTCATCTGCGTTAAAATTGCCTAATTTGTGAGAATAAATGCATGGCGAACAAACTTGTTTCCCATTTTAAAATGTATATTTAATCGCCTAATATTCGTAAAAAGTATGAAAATCTATAGGTATTTGATGAAAATACATCTTCATAAATATTGTATTATCACGTTTAATGACATCCATTTTAAGAGAACCTATATACGGTCACGGATAAAACTCTTCATCATTTTTAAAGTTCTAAATCCCACGTAGGGACCACCAAGATGCTGGATGTTGGATCCCATTGTTTCTGTAATAACGGTCCTGTAACTGTCATAAACGTCCTAACGGTGTACAATTAAGGGTGTTAACAATTAGAGGTAATTGCATGTTATTGTTACCGGGATAATTCGGGACAATCTCCAAAAACACAAAGAGGCATTTGATTTAGTTTAGCCTTTAAGTCACATGACTGTGTTGTATTTTTATTTATATTTTACACTATATACTACCTGTACCTTGCTGCTGTGGTATATTGTAGTTGCGTTGATGAGAAATAGGGAACGAAACTGACCCAAAAAATAGATAAAAACAATCTTTGAAGCGGGTTGTATATCGTGTTGAAATTTGAGCTACAGAACTTTTTGAGTTTTTCAAGTGTACACAATCCAACTTAACATTTTTGTATACATATTATATAAGTAATGTTACTTTGAACACGGTGTTCGTGGTCACAACAGAACATGACATAAATATTACTATAAGATGAAATTGACCATTTTGAATAATTAGTGAATCATTTTACGCCATTCGCGAAAAGACGTGATCTTCAGGTATCCAGTAAATATTACATCAATGATTCCGGAGTCTACACACATAAAAATAATTTTAGCAAAACGCAAAAAAAAAGGACCGTATGATGTATTGAATACCGTGCCGTATGGGTTTTTAATTGTTTGGATTGAAGCCAAAAATATTTTCATTTCTTCTTGCAACTGATATGCCAATTATTATTGTTCATCAGAATATTTAGTTCACTTCAATAGATTTATATAGAATGTAGGTAGTCAACTCTAGATGCAAAGAAAACATTCATTTAAATATAATAAAAATGTAACATGTAATCTTTTTATAGACACCACTTGTTCACAAATTAACTAACTGTTGTACATTTTGTTGTTATGTAATAATAACACACAGCTGAGTGAAAGAGAGAGAGAGAATATGCTCCATTTCGTTTAAACAAAGTACAGTCAACAATGAAAATCTGTTCAGAAGTAGATAAATAAATTGATTAGCACGGGTTTTTTTTTTCTAATCTTGAGAAAAAAGTAACAATTTTATTCACACTGTTCTATTTTTAAGCTATTGCATAGCTTCTATCGAGGGACTTGAGCGCGGGGACCGAATCCAGAAATTCCTTAACGAAAAAAAACCTCACGCTAAAAACAAAACAAAAAACAGTACCAAAATCAAATGCTGAACGTCAAAGGAAATTTCGTCAACATAATGCAGAAAAATCTTACATGGATATGTAATTTTATTTAATAATAATATTTTTCATTTATTTATTTAAAAACAAATTGTAATATATGCTTCAATATTTTTATTTAATAAAAAAAAAATTGTTTTCTTATCGGTCACCACGCTCAAAAAGTGTAACTTGAATTAATATCAAAGAAAAAGAAATACTGCATAAATAAAATAAATAAATAATTTTAATTGCATAAGTTGATACAAAATGCTATGCAATAGCTTTACCGCAGCAGTCCCCGAGTGCCACACGTCTTTTTATTATTATTTTTACTACTATGTATATTCCTTTATACTAAAATTCTTTACTTATAGAGTACTGGACCGTTGTTAATAGTTAAGACTATAAAATATGGCTAAGTACAATCTAACTACTTTTTTTATAGCGTGGACATCCCCCCAACGGCTACAATGTGTCGGAAACACTACATAGTTAAAAGGACCAATGGTTCCTATGTATAAGGTAACCAGGAAAAGGAAGTGAGCATCATCAATGGCCTTCGTCCTTCGACCGTTATGAATGAATCAATGACATGTGTGTGTAGTTGTACTACGCAGTATAGAATGACCAAGGAGGCCAAAAAATATTAGGATTTAAGGTTCAGTCACGTATCAAACCAACTAAAACCACTTGATTCCATCACAATTGTGAGATAAAACATTTACGTAACTTTTTATTGCCAACATTTTTTTTAAATATGCTTAACTTATCAATAAAATTTTGTTCCAACCGTCAGAACTTTATTAAAAATTGTTGTTAATAAATTTAATATTTTTTTATGATATGAACATTTGGGAACATATGGGTTAACGAATGGTCGGGTAGCTTGATGGAAAGTCACCATCGCCGTACATGAACATCTCCAACTTAAAAATCACAAGCGCATTGCCAACCTTTGAGATGGAATACTAAAGGTTTAGAGCAGGGATTCCCGAAGACTGATATTGACCACTTGTAGTCAAAATCGGTCTTCCAGAGTTCGACATAAACGAGAACCTATTTTGGAGGTCGACGAAGTCTAATAATCGATCCCTATTAATTAACACAAGTTCTTATTTAAAACTTTCAAATACAGCATAAGTTGTTTTACACGTAGCAACTTGTTATAGGACTGACTAATATGTCTATTTTTTTTTTTAAATTTTGATGAGAAAATGATGTGAAGTTTACTTGCTTAAAATGTCAAAGTTTTTAAAAGTAAAAGTATTTTGTATCAATAGGAAAAAACTAGAGATAAGATTTATAAAGTAATTTGGCTATGGGGTCTGAGGTATCATTAGTTCATTTTGGAAAAGGGGTCTCTTGCCCAAAATAGTTTAGGAATCCCTGATAAGTGAATCATTGTATTTGTGTTATATTCATCACAACAATGAAGCCTTGGCATAGTTATTCCTCACATAATCTCGTACCTTATACGTTTAGTAGGTTACGATTTAAGGGACTACACGCTTAGTACATAATAATGATTATCTTGTACTAATTGTATTGAGGATAACTATTTGTTTT